ACACTGCCGAAAGCCACAACAGTTGGCACCTCTGTTTCGTCATCATCAGAGACGTGCTGCGGTGGTCCTTGCATGTCTACATCCTCACACATAAGTGGTTGTGCATCAGTGCACTCAATCCCTTCCACTTCTGGGTCAGGGCTAGGTGGATGGCCCATGGAAACCCCACCAGCAGAGTCATCAAAAAAGCATAAGAGACTGCTGCATGACTTGTGGCTCAGACTGCTCAGGTGATTTACAAGGGGGTGAGGTGATAGACACATGGCCATGGGCTGCAGGTGCCAACTCTGAGCTTTCAGCAGGGCACCCATGGGAGGCAATGTGCAGGAACTGGAGGCACTGTCAGCCATCCAATCTACTATCACCTGTACTTGTTCTGGCCTCACCATTCATAGAGCGGTATTCGGGCCTACCAAATAACGCTGAAGGTTCTGTCACGTATTCGCACATGAGGAAGGTGTTTCACTTGTGCATGTAGCTGGCACAGATTGACCACGTCCTCTCCTTGCAACAGGGATTCCACCAACACCAGAAGCACCACGACCAGGGCCACGTCCCTTATTTGACGCTCTCCTCATTCTTTGCATTCACCCACCAAACTAACAGATGTTTTATGTCAGGCGACAATGTAACTGCCAACAGTCAACAATTTAATTTTTTTTTAGTTTATTGGACTGCAAGAAATGCACTGCAGGCCGCAAATGTACTATTTAGCAGATTAGCACCTGGAAAATACAATTAGAATGTTTACAATTGCGCTGTAACCGCAGTATTAGATGCTTCTATATGACTCTCAGATATGAAGAGCAAGCCCCAAAATGTACTATTTAGCAGATTAGCACCAATAAAAAAATAAGAATGTTTACCACTGTGCCGTAAGCACACTTTTAGACGCTTCTATTTGACTCTCAGATATGAAGTACAGTCCGCAAATGTACTATTTAGCAGATTAGTACCCAGAAAATTAGAATTTTTACAAGTGCGCTGGAAGCACACGATTAGACGCTTATATTTGACTCTCAGATATGAAGTGCACCCCACTAAAATACTATTTAGCAGTTTAGCACCCAAATAATTTTAAGTTTTAAAACTGCAATGTGACAGCAGTATTTGACGATTCTATTTGACTCTCAGATATGAAGTGTACCCCACTAATGTACTATTTAGCACCAAAAAAATTTGACTTTTTAAAACTCCGATGTAACTGCGGTATTTGAAGCTTCTATTTGACTCAGATATGAAGTGCACCCCACCCCACTAATGTACTAGTTTGCAGAATTCTTTCCTAAGCTGTCCCTATCATCGGCAGCATCCTCTCCCTACACTAAGAAGACCGCATGTGCGTTCGGCGCTACGCGACTCCAGCTTATATATAGAGGCTGGGTCACATGCTGCACTGGCCAATCATAGAAACATAGAATGTGACGGCAGATAAGAACCATTCGGCCCATCTAGTCTGCCCAATTTTCTAAATACTTTAATTAGAGCCTATCCCACGCATGCTTAAACTCCTTTACTGTGTTAACCTCTACCACTTCAGCTGGAAGTCTATTCCATGCATCCACTACCCTCTCAGTAAAGTGATACTTCCTGATATTATTTTTAAACCTTTGTCCCTCTAATTTAAGACCATGTCCTCTTGTTGTGGTAGTTTTTCTTCTTTTAAATATAGTCTCCTCCTTTACTGTGTTGATTCCCTTTATGTATTTAAATGTTTCTATCATATCCCCCCTGTCTCGTCTTTCCTCCAAGCTATACATGTTAAGATCCTTTAACCTTTCCTGGTAAGTTTTATCCCGCAATCCATGAACCAGTTTAGTAGCCCTTCTCTGAACCCTCTCTAAGATATCAATATCCTTCTGAAGATACGGTCTCCAGTACTGTGTACAATACTCCAAGTGAGGTCTTACCAGTGTTCTGTACAATGGCATGAGCACTTCCCTCTTTCTACTGCTAATACCTCTCCCTATACAACCAAGCATTCTGCTAGCATTTCCTGCTGCTCTATTACATTGTCTGCCTACCTTTAAGTCATCAGAAATAATCACCCCTAAATCCCTGTCCTCATATGTTGAGGTTAGGACTCTATCAAATATTCTGTACTCGCCCTTGGGTTTTTACATCCAAGATGCATTATCTTTTCACTTATTCATATTAAATGTCAGTTGCCACAATTCTGACCATTTTTCTAGTTTACCTAAATCATTTGCCATTTGACTTATCCCTCCTGGAACATCAACCCTGTTACATATCTTAGTATCATCAGGAAAAACACATACCTTACCATCAAGACCTTCTGCAATATCACTAATAAAAATATTAAAGAGAATGGGTCCAAGTACAGATCCCTGAGGTACCCCACTGGTGACAAGTCCAAGCTTCGAATATATTCCATTAACTACAACCCTCTGTTGCCTGTCACTCAGCCACTGCCTTACCCATTAAACAATATTGGAATCCAAACTTAAAGATTGCAGTTTATTGATAAGCCTTCTATGTGCAACAGTGTCAAAAGCCTTACTGAAATCTAGGTAAGCAATGTCAATCACAGCCATGCCATTAGTAGGCTGTCGAGTCAAAACGCTTGTTGATTGGCTGCCCTGCAGCCTTTGAAAACGCGCCATTAAATCGCCAAACACCAAACTCCAACCCGAACATACAGTGATATGTCCGTGTTCGGGTCCGGGGTCCAAAAAACCTAATGTTCGGTATGAACCCGAACTTTGCAGTTCGGGGTCGCTCAACTCTAAACGAGACACCTAAATACTATAAATACACTTTCCATCTTCCTGATATAGTCTTACTGGAAACACACAACAGTGAGACACTATGCAAGTTATGTATAAAATGTGCTGTGCTGTGAAAAGTGGTCAAACATATTGAAAGTGGTGCAGTCACCATTGGAATCTTCAGGCACATAATTCTTGTGACTTTTTATATATACACTCATTGGACCAGAGCAGTCTAGCACACCATACGTGCTCATACTTTTTCTGCCTTATATACAGATGCATTCTTTTATCCAAACCAGGCACCAGTTTGTGTTTAGTATTTTTAATTAGTTTAACATTAATTTACAATTTAATGCTACATTTTGATAATGCAACTCGTACTATCAAACACATATTTATTTCAATTTTTACAACTTGTAATTTTATTACAACAGTTGCAGATCCAATTAAGTTCTCAGCGTATGGGGGAAATGGGATACATTTAAAAAAAATAAAAATGTTCCTTTACTAATTAATTCAATGTTATAAACCATTTCTAAACACATTTCCACCATTTACTAGGCAATGTTAATCATATGAGAACTGCATGCATTCAAGACATATGCATCAAAGGAATACCCTCCTTCATAACAAACACAGTAGGTATCCTCTATAGATGTCAGTATTCTAAAAGTGTCAGGGTTATTCATTAAATGGGAATTGTTGGGAAATCATAGTGAACCTTAAATTTAAGTCAAATGAATCCAGCTAGAATCACATCTGAATTTGTCCAGCTAGGCTATTTTGGCTTAAAATTGTAAATTCATCTTGAATAAAATGACAAAGAATGTTGTTAGTACAGCAATCATAAAGTATTACGTTGAAACATTATCACCAATAAATTGATGTGAATAAAGGATTGCTGCTGTGATTCTGAAGCATCCTTGAACATCTAGTTTGTGATTGCATTAACAGGCACTCAAGCACCATATCAGGGAACGCCACAGACAAGCCTGCCATAATGCACTGTCAGCGGGGTCAACAGGGAGTCCCCCCATAATGCACTGTCAATGGGGTTAACAGAGAGTCCACCCATAATGCACTGTCAGTGGGGTCAACAGAGAGTCCCCACCATGATGCACTGTCAGTGGGGTCAACAGGGAGGCCCCCACTGAGGACCTGAGTCTCAGAGTCCTGGTCAGAGGAAGAGGTTAAATGGAAATTACAATATCTATGTCACTTACTTGCCCACTGTATTGACTGCATTACAGTTCCATTTTCTATTGGGTCTATAAGAAGCTACATGCTGTGGACTGCAATTTTCGTAGTTCCATATCTGCTAGAGTGTGGCTGAAAATGATGGAGGATGCAATAGGCCAGCTATCACTTGTGAATTAGGAATTAAGCTAGGCTGTGATTTATTGGTGTTAGGATAGGGATTATGGAAATTTAGTTTATAGTAGTGGTAGTGGGAGATACTATTGAGCTAGGGGTCAGGTGAGGTAACACTAGAGCAGGGGTAGGCAACCTTTTAGTAGTACCATGTCAAAACAAGATCTTGAAGTCCCTTGGCATGTCAGTTCTATTTTGTTTTTTAATTCAGGCGTGTATTCTACTTGTGTTATGTGTGTGGATGATATATCACATGGTGTGTATATGTGTAGGGCTGCTTGTCAAATTTCATGCGAGGCTGCTTGTGGGATTGTGTGAATGTATGTGGATTGTCAGTGCTGTTGTGTTTGTGGAGAGTGTGCGTATGAGGGGGAGACTTCTTCTGCAGCTCTGTGCATATCTACCTATGTGGGTGGCTTCCCTGAGGTAAAAGTGGGGACCAAGCTGGCCAGGTGCAGGTCAAGCTCAGGGGCTGAGTTACTGCTGGCTGCTTTACTCTGGTGTGGATCCCTTTCACAAGTGCTGGGAGGAAGTGATCTGAGATCACTTTTGTAATGGACCGTTTTGCACACAAGGGCTATCGGCCCCCTTTCCAGAGATACAGGCACAGCTACTGCAGAACACCAAACTCCTGAACTGGATACAAAATAGCACTCCAACTCCCGAACTGGAACCTCCCAAATAGCTGCTAGCAGACGAACAGGAAAAGCAGACAATCAGCTTACACTCCTGGCAATCAGTCTCTAACAGCATACAGTGAATCCCCCCAAGAACGAGACAAGGCTCTGTGTTGAGGGTCAAGCAGTGGTCTGAGGTGCTGGCACACCCAGCCTGGTTTTTATTACAGTCTTGCAAATACAGGACCGCCCACAGGGAGGTATAAAACAACCAATCACATCACAGTTACATCCCACATATTCCCTCCCCTTATCCTGAGAGGAAATTCAATTACACATACAGTTAAAACATACTTTCTACCCAACTTTCATAACTCTAAAACCATACATCACATTCACATAACATTACATATTCACAATCAATCCATTCAGGGGAACAACATATTAAAAAATGGCATGAATCAGACCAGGGGTTCAAAAGTTAGTAAAAAGTATCTTTTGTACCCTGGCTGGCAGCATGGCTATCTGGCTCAAACAGGTTTTACAGAGCCCTCTATCCTGGACAATGGGGAAAGTAATCCAATTATCCAGGGATAGAGGCAGACTCCATTGAGCACATGGGGACACAAAGACAGTAAAACACTTTAAAATACATCAGGTAAGACACCTTACATTAAAACTATACATTTAACATATCCCCAGATAGCTCAGGTCTGAGCGCACATTATTAAGTGAATGGCGCTCAGACCACACGAATACAGTTTAATCGCCATGGAGCCAAAGTCTTTACAGTCAGTTTCATACGAATGGGCTCCATGGGATTCCTATCTGAGGTATAACACATTCAAACAAATCTACCGAACCCCAGGCAGAAAAGCACGAATGAAGCTTTTCTGCAGGTAAAAAAGATGTCTTTTAACAGGGGGCCATAGTCCAGAGGCAGCAGGCGAGCAACCAGGCTTCTCCAGTGCAATGTGGCGAGATTGGTCTCGTCACAACTTTCACTAAGTGCTGCAATGTGTTAATTGAGGATTGGCCCTCACCACCTGCAATCACCGCTCGGTTTGCACTACAAGGTATTTGAAGTCCCACTGGGACTCCTGATAGGCCAGGAACTGTGTGGTTCTGGCAGCCTTGAGTGCCGGCAAAGTCTTAAGAAATATAGCGAGGTTTTTAAGGATCTGAAGGTAATTGTTCAATTAGTGGTCGAAATATACACACCTATGAAACAGGTAACTAATGTGCAACAACCATATGCATGAAATACAATACTCCAAAAAACTGTAATTGGAGGGGGGCGTGTCCTGAACGCGGACCGGAGCAGACGCATGTAATCAGAGCTCCGTGCCGCGACAGCTAAAAAGGAGCAATTAAAGCCCGAAAAATATACTTGGGACCAGCCCGGACCCATAATGTCTCACCCCAAAGGCAAACGAGCAGGAGACAAGGGAGAAAAATCGAATTTCTTCGCCTCCAGGACGGGACAGGGGAAAACTCCACAGCAGTCCGAGCAGGCCCAAGATGGCGCAGGTGAGGAGCATGATGCAGACTCCCAGCAAGGGGAAATCGACAACCCGCTGACACACAGCTCCCTAAGGAAACTGCTGGACGAAATGTCAGACAAAATAGTGGGAAAAATGGACAGTGCTATGACAGCCCTAAGAAAAGAACTTCAAGATATAGGCCAGCGCACAGCGCGGACGGAGGAACAAATCACAGAAATGGCAGAAGCCCACAACGCACTTGCAGAAACCGTTGACGGCCTGGCCGCACGACTAAATGACCAAGATCTTAAGATAGCAGATATGGAAGACAGGGCACGCCGCAACAACCTCCGCATAAGGGGGATACCAGAAACGGTTAAAAATGAAGACCTCAACGCCCATGTCACGGGCCTACTAAAAGCACTTGCTCCAGATTTACCAATTGACCTGCTCCTGCTAGACAGGATTCACAGGACCGCCAGACCTAAATTCTTACCCCCAGATACGCCGAGAGATACCTTACTCAGAATGCATTATTTCCACGCTAAAGAAGTTATCTTGAATGCAAACAGAAAACGGAAGGAAATGCCTGCACAATACAGAGGTACAACCATTTACTCAGACATATCCTCATACACCTTAAAGAGACGGCGCGACTTCAGGGATATAACCATTCTGCTCCGAGACAACCATCTCCCATACCGATGGGGATTCCCCACCAAGCTCCTGGTGATGCGGGACGGGAAGACCACAACGATAGGATCCCCGGAGGAAGGCCACCGTATCCTAAGGGACTGGAACATTGCATCCACACAGATGGCTGAGCAAGGAAGAAGCGGCAACAGAGCCTCACCGGACTGGAAAAAGGCGAAGCGGAGATGAAACATATAAGACTGTGTGCAGGCCTTACGGCACCACAGGGTGATGGACTATCAACCCCAGGGGCAGGGTAACGTACAATGATACACCAACTACACTGAGCAATTGCAATGCTCACGATAGGGCATAGTAATAGGTGGGGGGCCTCGCTTTATTATACGAGCTGGGGTCCCACAAAAACACTACCCACATAATATCTATACAAAAAAAAAAAAACCCCGCCATCACTCACATAGAAGCGAGTATCTCCAGCTAGACTCACTCACCCAAAGACAAATAGATTGCCGGTGGGGCAGCCGCATGCCAACCTTCACCCACACCTAGCTTAAATGAAAAAAAAAAAAATATATAAGTAGATAACTCATCACTACACAAGCATAGACAATACTGCAGCTCGACCAGCAGGGCTAAGAATACTAGTTGGGACATCCCAACATACACATAAGTAATAGCTGTAAAGGGAGAAAGCTCCCATAGGACGTGAGGCCTTCCGCCTCTACCCCCAAGGCACGACAACGCAGTGCCACGCCAAATTTATGGCACGTATATTCCTTAGGAATACCCCTGTAAATACTTTTGTTGATGTTAATGTTTTGTTATATGTTGTTCTATGTATTGCATGTACCTCATCAGTCCAACGCTTTACCCACGAGGCGGGGAAAGGGTTAGTGGGTGACTCGACCCCAGCCACCAAAGAAATATCCCAAATACCTAATGACAACCGGTACTCAGATTGTTCCGCAGGCCAGGCTGGCACAATAATGAACATACAGAGGGACTCACTGCTCCGCTCGATAGAGCTGGGGAGGGCAGCGACCCCCACATACATTGACCAATTCCATAGGTATGAGAGACACCAACCTCACAGACCACCGTGAAGCTCTGTACCTTCAATGTTAGGGGCCTCAATGCTCCGGTAAAACGCCACCTTCTAACTAGAGTGGTTAGACATATGGGTATAGACATACTATGCCTCCAGGAAACCCATTTTAGGCACAACGACTACCCAGCAATATTAACCAAAGATTTTCCACACCAGTATCACGCCACGGCACCCACTAAAGCTAGGGGAGTATCCATCCTCATCAGCAAAACGGTCTCTTTCACACTGCAGACTGTAGACATAGATCCGACTGGTAGATATATCATACTCGTGGGATTGTTTAACGATATGCTATACACCATAGTGAACATGTACTCCCCAAATACTAATCAAAGGAATTTCTTGCACAAAATTTTAACCCAGACAGCCAAAACCCAAAAGGGCATCACGATTATAGGAGGGGACTTCAACCACATTTTCGACCCGCTTACGGACACCACCCTACATGCACGTAGCAAGCACCACCGCCCCCTGAAGAGACAATGTAGAGCCATAGCAAAACTACTCCATGCCCAACATTTCTATGACGCCTGGAGAGTCACGCACCCTACAGAAAGGGCGTATACCCATTTTTCAGCAGTGCACAACTCTTACTCCAAAATAGATGGGTTTCTCTTAGCGGGATCGGCCCTAGACCAACTAGTTGATAGCGATATACAGCAGATTACGTGGTCAGACCACGCACCAGTAACTATAGAACTAAAAAATATCTACGACTTTAAACACCGCAGCCCGTGGAAAATAAACAATTCACTGTTAAGGGACGAGGGATACGCACAAACTCTAAAGGAAGACCTCCAAACATACTTCGATAATAATGACACGGGGGATGTCTCAGACTCCACCTTATGGCTAGCACACAAGACAGTGACAAGAGGCCTATTGATCAGAAGGGCAGCCTATGTGAAAAGGACACAACAGACACAACTCAGAAAATGGCAGGCAGAGCTGTATAACTTAAACAGACTTAACCAACACACCCCAACACCAGAGACAAGACACAAAATAACCCAGCTCACACGCCTTATGTACCAACACGCACTTGAGACACTCAGCGCACACATGCAGAAGCTCAAGATAAACCATTACGTGCAAGGGAATAAGGCAAGCAAATTGCTGGCACAAAGAATAAAATCTAGACAGGCACACCAAAAAATATCCTACGTCACGGACCAAGCAGGAACACAAATACGTACCCCAAAAGGCATAAGTGAGGTATTCGCTTCATACTACTCAACACTCTATAATATTCAACAGGACACACAGGTCAGACATCCGACGACCACAAGCATAAGAGAGTACCTAGATGGAGTGAGAATACCCAAGATCACGCCACAACAACAGCTAGACCTTACAAAACCAATAACAGTTCTAGAGGTTGAGGAGCTAATTAAAGGCCTCCCAACAGGGAAATCCCCAGGACCAGACGGATTTGACAATCAATACTACAAGAAATTTAACACCACACTCGCACCATACTTAGCCAGATTATTCACAGAGGCAACCCAAAAGGGGGAACTCCCCAAAGAAACACTGTCGGCTCACATAGTTACGCTCCCAAAACCCAACAAAACCCCGACAATCCCACAGAACTTCCGACCAATTTCCCTCCTCAACACGGACGCAAAACTGTACGCCAAATTATATGCCAACAGACTGAGTGTAATCCTCCCGACCATAATACATGATGACCAGGTGGGTTTCATAAAGGGGAGACAGGGGTCGGACAACACCAGGAAAGTTATTAACATCCTCCACTACCTACAGGGCCGGCACCGGGGGGGACTTCTTGTCTCCCTCGACGCCGAAAAAGCCTTCGATCGTCTACACTGGGGGTTCCTTCAGGAGGTATTGGGTAGGTTTGACATCCCTTGTGGCTTTGTGGCAGCCGTTAGTGCTCTATATAGCCAACCCGCAGCACGAGTACTGAACGCGGGGTTCCTGTCGGAGCCGTTCCGACTCACAAACGGCACGAGACAGGGATGCCCTCTGTCCCCGCTGCTTTATGTGTTGGCGCTAGAGCCGTTAGCGATCAAAATTAGAGAAAACCCCACAATACACGGCCTGGAGATAGGGAAGAGGGAATACAAGGCAAACCTCTTCGCGGACGACATCCTGCTGACGCTAACACAACCACATCTGTCGCTCCCAAACCTGTTGAGGGAAATAGAAATCTACGGGGAACAATCATACTACAAACTTAATGTAACCAAAACACAAGCAATGGGAATCGGGATAGCACGCA